TTTTCCAGGAGACCAAAGAACTTCCAAGAAAAATACAGTACCTAGAGATAGACTTCCTGTGATTGGGATTGGATCCCCAATCAGCATCACTAAATCCCTCTACTCTAAAAGTACTGGTGGCTGAATAAAACAATCCAGTGGAAGGAGTGTGTTTTAAGTACCTGAGAACATGATGTAGAGCATCCCAATGATCTTCACAGGGTTGCAGAACATGAGTACTCAACTGCTGGATTGCAAAAGTGAGATCAGGTTTTGTGAAAGACAAATATAGTAGCTGTCTAACTAGTCTCCTGTAAACAGAAGAATCTAAAAGAGGTTCACTAGGTTGATCAGAGAACTGGTGACATTTTGGTAAAGGAGTTGTGGCTAGTTTACATCCTAATCTCCCTGTGTTCTTAAGAATATCAAGAACATATTTCCTTTGATTGATATAAATGCCATCAGTGGATCTTGCTATTTCAACCCCAAGAAAAAAAACTTTGCTGGACCAAGATCCTTGATGGTAAACTGAGTATGAAGATAAGTTTTGATAGATTGAATGGCTGCTTCACATTCCCCGGCTATCAATATATCATCTACATATACAACTAAAGCCAGACAAGTCCCTTGAACTTGACCAAAAAAGAAACAGGTTTCATGTACTGATTGTTGTAGTCCAAATTGTTGTATTTTTTGAGGTAAACTCTAGGTTCCATTGTCTGGAGGCTTGCTTAAGTCCATATAAGGACCTTTGGAGTTTACAGACCTGTAATCCAGGAACATCAAGACCCTCAGGAGGCACCATGTACACTTCCTCATCCAAATAGCCATAGAGGAAGGCATTATTGACATTCATTTGGTGCAAAAGCCAACCTTTGGAAGCTGTAATTGCAAGGAGAAGTCTGACTGTCACTATCTTGGCCTTTCGGGAGAAGCTGTCAAAGAGGTCCTCTCCTTCTTTCTGATTATATCCCTTTGCAACAAGCCTTGCCTTGTATCTGTAGACTGATCCATCAGGATTGTGTTTGATATACCCACTTGTTTCCAATGGCTTGTTTACCAGGTGGTAAAGTGGTAATCTCCCAGGTTTGATTCTGCATTAATGCATCCAATATTGTCTGCATTGCTTCAACCCAAAATGGATTGTTTTTGGCCTGAGAATAAGTCTTTGGTTGTGTCTCTTGGTCTAACTTGGTGAGAAAAGCTAGATAAGATGGTGAAAAATCTGGTGCTGAATAAAAGGGATATGTGGGTGGTGTATATCGTGAGCTGGTTGATGGAAAGTAAGTCGCAGAAGGCTGGCAGGCTAAATGAACTTGGTGAATATCAAAGTCATTCATCCAAGCAGGCTTGGTTCTAACTCTGGTACTCCTTCTGAGATGTGTAGATGGTGGTGAAGGAATAACTGACTGAGATGGGATTATTGACAAAGGTGAATTAGAAGAGGTTTCAGGAATGACTGTTTGGAAAGTGTCACCAGCTGATGGAATATGATTTCTATGAGAATGAAGTTCAGGTATGAAGTTTAGGTAAGGAGTGAAATAATCACGTTGCGATGTTCAATCTAGACAAGATGCTATTTGAACATAACTAGATTGCATATAAGGAAATTTAGTTTCATGAAATACTACATCTCTAGAAACAAAGACTTTATGAGATTCCAAATTATAAAGTTTGTAAGCTTTTTGACCATATGGTTATCCTAGAAAAACATATTTAATGGCTCTTGGAGCAAACTTGTCCTTATGTGGCAAAGTGTTTGTGGCACAACAAAGGCATCCAAACACCTTTATGTGAGTATAATCTCACTGTTTCTAGTTTAAGATCTTATATGGATTTTTCCAGTCAATAATTGAAGAAGGCAAATGGTTGATTATGTAAGTGGCTATCGAAACTGAATCCCCCCGAAATTTATTAGGTAAATGAGATTGAAACATAAGAGCTCTAGCAATCTGCAAGAGGTGTTTGTGCTTCCTTTCCACCACACTATTTTGTTGTGGGGTGTAAAGAGCTGATTTTTTATGAACAATTCCTAGAGTAGGAAGGATACTTTGGCATTCTTGACTGAGAAACTCAAAATCATTGTCTGATCTGAGAATCTTAACAGAAGTATCAAACTGTGCATGGATCATTGCAAAAAACTTTGATCGAATAGAAATGGCTTGTGTTTTATTATTCATCAAAAAGGTCCAAGTACAACGACTATTGTCATCTACTAAGGTAAGAAAGTAAGAGGCTCCACTATAGGTCTGGTGTTTATAGGGTCCCCATATATCAACATGTATCAATTCAAGTATACTAGTAGACTGTATTGTTCTAGAAGGAAACTATAGTCTTGATTGTTTTGCCAAAGGGCATACATCACAAGGTTTATTTCTATCAACTTTGCTATTACAGAATCCTAACTTTGGAAGTACAAGATCAGGAACACGACCTAATCTTTGATGTCAGAGATTCTTGGACTGATCACTTGCAAAGTTGGACTGATGAGTTGAATGAAAAACTTGTTTCAAAGTGAATGGATGATCAAGGTGATCTTGAATGAACTGATGAATGGTGTGTGGCTTGAAAGAATTGGAATCAAGAACATAGAGACTGTTCAGGACCTGACCAACAGCCCCCAATTGCTTAGTCTGCTGGTCTTGTAATAGACAGAAAGTGGTGGAAAATAAGAGTCAATATGTGAATAGGTTGCCCATTTGTTCACTGAGAGAAGGTTATACTTAAAGCTAGGGACATGTAAACAGTTTTGGATGAGTAAATTATCAGACATCTTAATTTGACCTATGTGTTGAATTGGTTTACATGTTTCATCAGGCAACATGACTGGTGTATATTGTTTTACTTGACTGAAGACATGGAAAAGATTTGAGTTGGGGCTCATTGTTCCTGAAGCAGCAGTATCTAAAAACCAAAGAGACATCAACCTATTCTCAGTCAAATTCAAAGCATTTAGGGCTGTGAATGTACTCGTACCTGCAAAATCATGGTGATGAGCAAAATTCATGTGTTCCAGCTCAGTGATGACTTGTTACTTTCCCTTGATGATCTTCGCCATTTCCTGTTGCATCAGCTGCATACTTTTCATCATCTGTGCCAGTTCAACTGATTCTCCTACCTTCACATTTTCTGATCCAGACATCTCTCCTGTGGTAACCATGTTTGCTGATCCTTGTGGCCTAAAACTCTTCTTGGCTTCTTTATTTCCTTCCCCCCAATCAGGATACCCAATGATTTTGAAGCAACCTGATTTCAGATGTCCTGTCATGTTACAATGATCACATTTCAGAAGCTTCTTGGCTGCTTTGTCCCATCTTAGATTATTCTCCTTTCCTGCAAAACCATTGTTGTTCCTTCTCCCTAATGGATAGACAACTTTGTTGTTTACATAGTTTGTAGGCCTGAAAACAGATCTTTGCACCATCATGGAATTTTGTTCTACTGAATCATCAAACAATTAGTTCACTATTTGTTGCTTCTCCACATTACCATGGCATAGGCCTTTTTGACATCTGATTAAGATTTGATTCCTAACAGAGTCATAAGAGTCCTTGAGACCACTCAGGTTTTGCATCAACTGATGGTGATTCTTTCTACCTCCACCTCTGGCATTACAAGTACACTGTTCTGGTGGATCCACGTGACTTAGTTCATCCCAAAGGCACTTCAGTTTAGAATAATAATCAAGTTCCCCTACGCCATAGTAGCTACTTCCCTTAACAACCGATAGATGTGAGGTCCACTGGTGGTTCCAAGCCTATGATGGATTTCTTCTCAAAGATCCAAAGCAATATTTTCTAAGTTGAAATCCTCTACAATTTCTGATGAAACTGAGTTTAACAGCCAAGAAACTACTCTATCAATTCACATGCCACCATTGTTCATAATTGACATCATTTTCAGCAGGTTTTGCCATAGATCCAGTAACAAAACCTAATTTGTTTTTCGTTCCTACAAATCGTCTAACAGCATGACTCCAGGAGATGTAATTCATCTCAGTGAGTTTAGTTGAGACAATTACCATAGAAGAATTGTCTGAGGGATGAAGCATCAAAGGATGTGAATAACCACCTCCGAACACTATTGACTCCATCTCTACTCCTCTTGCTTCTTTGCGTCTCTCACGCTCACGATTAGTTGCCATTCTTCCTTCGATTGAAGCTTTTGGATCGATTTTCTTTGTTTTTTTGTATTCTAGGGTTTCAACTGATCTTCAGCTTGGAATTGTTTTGTTTAATTAATATCATTTTTATGCATGAATTTGTAGAGATTTGATGATGTTTACACCAGCAGTGTGACGTGAAAATCTCCAAGCCATTAGGGATTATTCCAAGTCATGATGATCACTACATTATTATGGTTATACATGACTTAAATATTTTCAAAATGTTTCATTTGGCAAGTGTTGATATCAAAGATGATGGAAGATTGAAACCAAAGTTAGGCGTGCTTAAATCAAGTCAGCGGAACTATGCGATCACCATTCTAAATTCATTGATTGTGGATGTTCAAACTCAAGAAGAATCCCAAAAGGTGGACAAAGTTCCTTGGATAACTTATTAAACCTTGGAAAGTGTTGAAATTTATCCACCCGTCGGGCAGCTCGTCGAGCGACAAGGAAGGTCGACAACAAGCATAAGGAGTCTGTCAGGTTTTGCGTCAGCTAACAACAAAGTCGACAGAGCTGCGTCGAGTTTCTCGTCGAGGCCATGAAGCCGACAAATAAGTCGACGGCAGAATTTCCAATTTTTGGAAATTTCCCATTTTAAATTGGTTTGCTTTTAATATGTTTCTGTTTAACTATTTTCGGCCAAAACCTATTAAAATAGGTAATTTTTGGTCTTTTAATAAATATTAAATAATTGTGACATGTACAATTAGTTAATTAAGAGATATTTTCTTTTTTTCAAACTTCTAATCTAAGAAATCCTAGTTAGAGTTCTAATAGGATTAGTACTCTTATTGGCCGACCTAAAGCCCTATAAAAGGAGGTCTTGGTCGTGATTTTTCTTAAGCCTTTGATGAATTATTATTCAATACGAACTTATGAGGAAAAATCCTTGTTTCTTGACCTTTTTGAGGTTATTTTGGCTTGTGCAATCTTAGGGTTTTGCATTAGTAAGAAGCGTGCTTTCGAGTTGTGTGTTTTCTGAATAGTGGAGTTTTGTTTGTCATTTTGTAAAACATTATCAAATCATTTTCTTCATAAGTATTAAGACAAGGGTTATTTGGAGTGTATCTAAGGGGTAATAAATCGAAACACTTCTCCTTTTCTTTCTTACCATCATATTCTTTTGGTTTCGGATTTTTGTGGTCTGATTGTTCTTTTTGGTAATGTATTGCGGCTGTCTTGGAGCAAGAATTCAAGTCTTGGGGTTTGCTTCTGCGTTCATAGCTTATTTTCATATCAATTTGGCCTCAGAGCTTTCGGTTCATTGATTTCTCGCATGCTTAGATCTAATTAATCAAGGCTCATCTTTGGTTAATTATCTTTGTGTTCTCTTTGTGTCTTTTTTGCATAAATCTCGCATATTCTGCTTTATTGTTAATTCGGCCATAGTGGATGATGAGAATCATATGGCTTCACATTGAACTCAACATCAAATAAAGGAGCAAAACGTGTTCTTGTCAGTTAGTGGTCCTAGATTGTTTCCGTTAAAGAATAGAAGAAAGTTTTCTCTGATAGCTTGGCCTTCCTTGGAGGAGTTATCACAAACACCTTCTAGTGGGAACATTGAGGTTGAAGAAGAGTCGCTTAGTCAAGATCAAGGGTTAGAAGAATCTAATGAAGACTTTGCTAAGCATTGGGGTGATTCAAGTGATGAAGATTCAAGTGATGTCAAAGAGATTGATGCAAGTGAGTTTGTTCCAAAGAACAAGCGTCTTGAAGAGATTTAAAATACATATTCAATTGTGTAGAAGGCATCATTGAATCTTGGTGATTTGAATGGAGCCACACGCGCCAATCAAAGGGAGAGAAACATGCGAGTAAACCGTTTTATCATGTTCTGTGTGTTGCATGATTTAATTTTTTTAAAACTAATTTTCTACCATTTTTAAATATGAAATCCGATAGGTTAAGCATGTTAGATTGCTTGGTTTGTTCGAATTCTTTGTGTCCTAGGGTTGTAGGATACCTTGTTAGTTTATCTATGTGATATAGATGAATTTGCATGGAAATAGCATGATGAATAATGTGTTTTTTATTATTTATTGCCTTAGTTATGATAGTGTCCTTACCAATATAGCATATATATTTGTTTGGTCTGTTGTAGTTAAGTGAGTAATTTGCTTATGGCATGTATCGTCAATTATATGGGTGATTGTTCGATTATATTGAAGGGTTTCATCTTTTATAAGATTAAGATATTCAATCTGGGTGATTATTGGATTTTGTGTTTGAGCTTTGTTTGTGTTCATAAGATAGTGGATTTCTATTCTCTCGATCTTAAGTTTGTTTTTGAATTTTCCGCACTCTTTTGGAGTTTCACTTTTAAAAAACATTTTCATACATTCTTGTTGACGGTTCCATTAACAAAATTTGGTTCGTTTACAAGTTTGCTAACAGTTTTTTGTACCAAAGCTGGTTTAACGCAATGGTAGCGAAATTGATATCTATGATGTCAGTTTTTGGTATCAAAGTAAAGGTGGAGAAGATATCCGATTCTCTTTTAAGAATATGGTTTGAAACCCTCGCAATATACTAGAATTGGTGGACTATCTTTTATTTTGATTAAGGTTCTTTTTGTTTTTGAAAAGAGTTTTGAGAAAAGTAAATCAAATTGATTTAAATTACAATTTCATAAGTTCTCCTTTATTGAATATTTGGTGCGAAAACAAGGTATTGCCTTAAGATGAATTTTTGAGTATTTTGGTTTTGTGAAATAATGAGTCTTGTTGAAGTTGTGCAAACAATTGATTCAAGGAGGGCTTCACTCGAGATTTCCATTGAAGTTGAGATTGGAGATTGGTTTCTTCATAATCAAGTGATTGGAACTTATTTGTATCATGATTAATTGATTTAGGGTTTGATGCCAAAAGCGAAAGCGCATAGCCTTACCTTTTTGAGAGAGATTATGTATACATGAGCAAGTGTGTGCTTGTTTATAAGTCTAGGTTCTTTGAATTTATGATCTATGAATTTTAAAGGTGGAGTATTCATGAAAGTATACTACTTAGTATATGAAAGTGTTGATCTTTCCTTCTTGACTTTAGTTCTTTATAAATTGGAGAAGAGTAAAATCTAGGGTTTGTAGTGTTTCAATCAATGAGACGTCCACACTCACTATTAGATTTTATTAGATTGAGTCTTGTGTTGAATTAGTGTAGTTTCGACCTAATGTGCTATGTGAAGTGTCTTCGTCAACTTTCTTGTTGAGTTGTGCGTCGACTTGTGTGTGTTTCCGTCGACTTCCTTGTCAGGTTATTCGTCGACTTTTGTGTGGTTTGATTTGAAGATTTCTAAAAGTTTTGAATTCAATATGTGTACAAGGTAACTTAAAGGGATCAATGTGTCCTTTAAACTTTTGGGTTAGTGATTAATTGTTTGAAGTCTTTTTCAAGAATAACGTGACCTTTCTTGTGGAGATTAGATTTTTCATTGGTTTGGAATTTGGTTTTCAAGAGTTTATCTTTTATGTGACTATGAGTTTTACTTCTTGTTGAGTCATATGAATGAGATATGAGTTTTAGAGTTTATACGTATAAGACTTTCCATGACGTACTTTGGAAATTGGTTGTGTTAAAAGTATCTAATTTATATAGTTTTAAGTGATTTAAACAAAATATTTTAGAAAATTAGATCTTTAGGGTTTTTAATCCAATGTGTTTATGTGGTTTTTTGTTTGTTGAGTTTCTTGAACTTGGTAGATGAAATAAATTTGCTTGAATGCATGATTAGTATTTTTGAGTTTCAATTACATGAATGAAAGAGGGTTTTTAGTATTTAACTAAAAGTTTTTTGTCTTAATTTTAATTGAATTAATTTCGAGAATTATTTTTATTGTGTGTGTCAAAATTTAAATTCCTATTTTGAGTGGGAAAAGAAATTTTTGCATGTGTGAATGTGTGTGTGTGTCGTGTTTCTTTTTAGGAAATACTAAAAGGAAAAAGGTTTTATTTGTTAAATAGCTATATAATAGGAGGGTAATTAAAGGAGTTTCCCAAAAATTATTAAGGTACATTACTTGTTTTATTGTGTCTTTTTCGGCTGAAATATAATTAGGAGATTAGGGTTTTTCTTTTAAAGAAAGTTTTCTAAAATTTAGAGTCTTATGAATTAAGAAAATAATGTAATTAAACTTGCTATTTTTAAATAATTTTAGCCGAATATGTGTCATTATATTCGGGTGAAAACTTGGAAAATAATTAGGATTTTATTAATTTTTTGAATTACTAAAATATGAGAATTGCCTAAAAGCTAAGCCTATTTTTAATTGGAAAGTCCTTGTAGGAAAAGCAATCTCATGCCTATATAAAGGGGTGTGTTGGTCGAATTTTTCATACATCCCAACCTCCAAAATTTCTTTTTGATCATTGAGCTAAAGTTTGCATAAGTTCTTAAGGTTGAAGGAGTACCTAAACCATCTCTTTTCTTCTTCTTTTTGAGAGTATCACCTCTTAAAAAGTGAAAGAGAGTTTTTATTAGTTAGTTTGGGGATTATCAATAGTCAAATCTTCCGTTGATTCGAGGGGAAGGGTTTCTCGGATTTATCGTAAAAAATCCAAGGGAGTTTTTCTAGTTTAACGTGATTATTTGCTCATCATCATGAGTGAAGAGATTGCTAAGTCGAAGGTGTGTTATCCGTGTCGTATCATTGTGGCGAGAGTGTAAGAACTAGGAACATTGTTGAAGAGTTTTGAAGCGGGTGACATTGGAGTTCTTAAATGAGGTTGTCAACAAGCAATTGGTGAACTTTAGTGATAAGGTGGTTTGTGTGGAACAAGAGCTTCATAACCTTAAGCAAGAGCATGAAGGCTTGAGGGGGAGCACCTTCAAGGAGATCGAGTCTATGCAACAGGATTTGATCCAACGTTTTATTGATGCAAATTATCGTGTGGATACAATGAAGGATTCTGCGTGTATTGATAAGTTGAAGATTGAAATTTCGACTTTCTATGGTGGGATTTGTGAAGGGTTGGAATCTTGGGTTGAATCTACTGAGAATTTGTTTGAATTGCTAAATGTGACTAGGGATAGTGTTAAGATCTCTATTGCTATCCAAGGTTTGCGACATATAGCTAAGAATTGGAGTGTACTATACTTGCGTAATCTAGATGGAAGTGAGCATAATGGGCATGATTTTAGAGAAGCAATATACAATAGGTTTTGGAGTATCGACATTGGTTATGAAATCCAATATGATTTGTATGAACTTGTTCAAGGTGACATGGATGTTGAGTCTTATATTGCTAAATTTAAGAAGTTGTGCTTCAATGGTGGTAGTGATGACTTGAATGAAGTGTTAGTTTTGTGATTCTTGAATGGTTTGAATTCTTGTTATAAAGATGACGTATCTTTGATGGGAGAGAAATATTTATATCGTGCTTTTCAAAGAGTTATGTTGCTGGAGTTGCGTAAGAATAAGTCTATTTGGAAGAAGTGTAATGATTCTTTGAAGGAACAAGGCGTTGCTTTGAAATACACTCAACATAGTGTGGAGTCAAACGCAAATCATGTCTTTCCTACTATAGGTGCGATAGGATGGGTTGATAATTTGATTGCAGCTATCGATGGGGTAGTAGCATCAATTGTATAAGTGAGGAGTTTGTTAGAGTTAATCACTTAGAGGTGAATGACTTAAGTGAACCTTACAAATTATGTTGGTTGCATGGTGGAATGGAATTGAGCGTTACTCAAAGTGCTAAGGTGGATCTTCGCATTGGGGATCTTGTTACTAGTGAGTTGCTTGATATAGTACCTATGACTGCGTGTGACGTTGTCTTGGGTCTACCTTTCATTAAGAAGTTAGGAATGGTCTTTTGTTGATTCATTGAATTTGTTCTCATATCGAGATCATGAGAATAGGTTGGTGGAGTTGAGATCATTATCACCTTGGGAGAGTGAGCATATCATGTTTAAGAAACGTGAGCTTTCTAAAGCGTTGTGCAAAGTGAAGGATGTACAACAAAATAAAAAGGAAGGTACATTCGAGGAGGGTGAATCGAGTGGTGGTGTAAGATGAACACTCAACGCTAACCATGATTTATCTTTGTTTTATTTTATAGGTAATGATGTATTGATTCGAGGAGGAATCCTTTTCTAGAAGGGGAGGATGATGAGAATCATATGGCTTCACATCGAAGTCAACATCGAACGAAGGAGCAAAAGGTGTTCTTGTCAGTTGGGGTTCTAGATTGTTTCCGTTTAAGAGTAGAAGTTTGCTGTGAGAACTTGGCCTTCTTTGGAGGAGTTATCAATAACACCTTCTAGTGGGAACATTGAGATTGAAGAAGAGTTGCTTAGTCAAGATCAAGGGTTGGAAGAATCTAATGAAGACTTTGGTTACCATTGGAGTGATTCAAGTGATGAAGATTCAAGTGATGTCAAAGAGATTGATGCAAGTGAGTTTGTTCCAAATAGCAAGCGTCTCGAAGAAATTTAAAATACACATTCAAGTGTGTAGAAGACATTATTGGAGCTTGGAGCTTTGATGGACCCGCGTGCGCCAATCAGAGGGAGGGAAACGCGCGGGTAGTATTTATTTAAATATTTACTATTTTATTGAGTCTGTAAATGGATAAAAAGTCTATTTACTTAAGTTAAATAAATTAGGGTTTAAAGGTTAATGTATAGCCGGCCATAGGGAGTATTTCATTAAGGATAAATTAGTCTTTTACCATTAGTAAAGTTAATTATTTTACTTGGTGGTTAAATTTAGTTAGAATTTGACTCAAAATTGAATATGTCTTTCCTTTCTGTGAATTGGATCGAGTAGAACGAGGAAGGTTGCTTTTCTTTGGCCTAAAGCCTAAATAGTAAGGTTTGTGTCTTAGAGAGCAAGGGAAGCTTGCCTATAAAAGGAGGCCGAATTCTCTAAAAAATAAGATAGATATGAGTCGAGTAAATTGAGTTGTAACCTTTATGGTTTTAATGGAATTTCATCAATGGATGGTTTTCTTCCAATGAGCATTTCTCGTTGTTTTGGAAGAGTTGAAGGGTTAGTAAACTTTTTCTTTCTTAGAGCCTAACATGTGACTTGGTTTTTAGAGTAAACCGTTTTATCATGTTTTGTGTGTTGCGTGATTTAATTGTCTTAAAAATAATTTTCTTATCATTTTTTGATATGAAGGTCGATAGGTTAAGCATGTTTGATTGCTTGGTTTGTTCGAATTCTTTGTGTCATAGGGTTGTAGGATACCTTGTTGGTTTATCTATGTGATATCGAGTTTGCATGGAAATAGGATAATGAATAATGTGTTATTGATTCCTTATTGCCTTGGTTATGATAGTGTCCTTACCAATATAGCATATATATTTGTTTGGTTTGTTGTAGTTAAGTGAGTAGTTTACTCATGGCATGTACCGTCAATTATATGGGTGATTGTTCGATTATATTAAAGGGTTTCATCTTTTATAAGATTAAGTTATTCAATCTGGGTGATTATTGGATTTTGTGTTTGAGCTTTGTTTGAGTTCATAAGGTAGCAGATTTATGTTCTCTCGATCTAAGTTTATTTATGAATTTTCCGCACTATTTTAGAGTTTCAATTTTAAACAACTTTTTCATACATTCTTGTTGACGGTTCCATTAACGAAATTTGGCTCGTTTACGAGTTTGCTATCAGTTTTTGGTGTGTATCAATCAACCTGTTTAGTGTGTGTTTTTTATTCTGGCCACTGAAAAACAAAAAGTGGCCGCCGCTTTTTTTAAAAATAAAAAAAAAAGAAAAAAAGAATATAAAGATCTTACAAAAACAAAAAGTAGTATTTGTAGTTGCTATTCTAAATTCCTATTAGAATTATGGTTTGGAAAATTTCCTTAAAAAGTGTTGGTTTGAAGATTAGGGTTTTTCGAAATTCATAAACCCTAGAAAGTTTAAGTTGGTCGAGAATTAGGGTTTAATATTTACCACCCTAGTTCAAATATTTTCTTATATATTGCTTCACAATTTGATCCTTTCTTCGCCAGATTTCTTTGCATATTTGTGACATCAATAGTCTATTTCGTGTTATTCGTAGATTTGTTTCAAATATTTATGATATCTTATCGTAGAATTCTTGTACGTTCATTGCTTAGTTACCTCATTGTACAAAGGTTAAAGACTCAAGGACAGTGGTAAAACAGGAGTGAATCTTTCCCTTTTTACTATATTCTAAACCTATCTGAGAGTTATTGGGTGAGTGTTAGTATAGTTGGGAAGGGTTTTACATTAAGAGAATGAATTCTTTGAAATCTTTTTCTTGTGTGTGTGTTGGATTTAAAGATACATGGAGCCATGGTGAACAAAGAAGAAACACTTTCTTCAGCGGGTGTGTCAAAAATCTTGGTAGCCTTGACGCAAATATCCATAAAATTGGACAAACAAAATGAAGGTCTTTATCAAATTCGAAAGAATGTTGTTCAAGGAGGAAATCACACGGATAGTGCTTGCCTTGGACAAAGGAAGGTACAATCTTATCATGGGATTGATGCTGGTTTCCAAAGGAGTACTTCCTACCAAGAACATGATTATAATCAAAGACAAAGAATTCAATATTATGAGTCAATCAAAAAATGTCGTGCACAAGAACATCAAGGTCCCTTCATAGCAAGTCAAGAAGCTATTGCGAAGACAACGATGATTAAAGAAAGAACAAGATTTCGTCTAGCTGAGCAGAGGAGAATTGAAGAAGAAAAAGCTAAAGAAGTTCAATGACAGAGCAAAGACAAACTCGAGCTAGAGCTATTAAATTAAAAAGGCTTGAAGAGTTGCAATGTGCAAAAGAAAATGAACTTGAATTACAGAGGCTTGAAGTTGAAAAAGAGAAGCAAGAATGTGAAGAGTAGCAACATGAGTTCGAGAAAGAAATACAAGATTTGGTGAATGAAGAAAATTTTTCTAACCAACTTAATTCTTTCATTGTTTCTGTTTCTTGTTTACAGCTTGAAGTTCTAGAAGAGCCTGAATCAATTTCTCGTAAGTTTGAAATTCAATCACTTGAAGATGTTGAAGAAAAAACATTGCATCCTTTGACATTGTTTCAAGAAGTTGAACACATTGACTTTGTGTTTGGTGACGTCTTTTCCAAGACAAAATTGGTTTTCAATCCATTCAACAATTCTGAAGTTGTTGTTGGCCAATGTTCGTATGTGAAAAAGCAAAGGAAGTCTTCAAAAAAATTGTTCCTCCAGAATTACATGCTATAAGATTCGAGGACGAATCTTTTCGAAGAAAGAGGGAGTGACGTGAAGATCCTCAAGTCATTAAGGATTATTCCAAGTCATGATGATAACTACATTATTATGGTTATACATAACTTTAATATCTTCAAAATGGTTCATTTGGCAAGTGTTGATATCAAAGGTGATGGAAGATTGAAACCAAAGTTAGGTGTGCTTAAATCAAGTTGGCAGAACTATGCGATCACCATGATAAATTCATTGATTGTGAATGTTTGAATTCAAGAAAAATCCCAAAGGTGGACAAAGTTCCTTGGATAATTTATTTAACCTTGGAAAGTGTTGAAATTTATCCAACCGTTGGGCAGCTCGTCGAGCGACAAGAAATGTCGACAACAAGCATAAGGAGTCCGTCAAGCTTTGCGTCAGCTAAGAACAAAGTCAACAGAGCTGAGTCGAGTTTCTCGTCGAGCCCATAGAGCATACTAATAAGTCGACAGCAGAATTTCTAATTTTTGGAAATTTCCCATTTTAAATTGGTTTGCTTTTAATTTGTTTCTTTTAAGTATTTTCGGCCAAAACCTTATAAAATGGGTAATTTTTTGGTCTTTTAATAAATATTAAATAATTGTGACATGTACAATTATTTAATTAAGAGATATTTTCTTTTTTAGGAAACTTCTAATCTAAGAAATCCTAGTTAGAGTTCTAATATGACTAGTACTCTAATTGGCCGACCAAAAGCCCTATAAAAGGAGGTCTTGGTCGTGATTTTTCTTAAGCCTTTGATGAATTATTATTCAATACAAACTTATGAGAAAAACTCCTTGTTTTTTGACCTTTTTGAGGTTATTTTGGCTAGTGCAATCTTAGGGTTTTGCATTACTAACAAGCGTGCTTTCGAGTTGTGTGTTTTCCGAATAGTGGAGTTTTGTTTGTCGTTTCGTAAAACATTATCAAATCGTTTTCTTCATAAGTATTAAGAAAAGGGTTATTTGGAGTGTATCTAAGGGGTAAAATCGAAACACTTCTCCTTTTCTTTCTTATCATCATATTGTTTTGGTTTCGGATTTTTGTTGTCCGATTGGTCCTTTTGGTCGTGTATTGTGGCTGTCTTGGAGCAAGAATTCAAGTCTTGGGATTCGCTTCCGCGTTCATATGTAATTTACATATCACAGTGGCTCAAAGAAGGCTGAGCTCCTGCTCTGATACAATCTACAATGGTGGATCGAGAGGTTCATTTAGAGAGAATTTGGGATAAAACGGTTTTCTGTATATTCAATATAATTGTTCCGTACGCAGTTCAATGCAATCAGGCACATTAAATGCCGTATCCCAACCGACCTAACTGTCTATACAGGTATTTACATGTTGACCCCTACAATTAGTATATATGTACAAAACAGTCCCTGTTTAACTATAAAAAAAAGAAAATCAAGCTATATGTATATACATTATGTACTCAGTTCACAATCCTACATAGGATAGTTGCAGACTGTAACAAAGATTATAAGAATAATGGATAGGAAAGAAAGACAAATAATAATAATTATCTTAACAAAATCAAATTTCCACTTAAAAAATATGTATTAATTTTTTATTTTTCATTTGAAGGCTTTATCACCACCGTACGAAAAAACAGTGAATGAACATCATGAGAGTTTTTGTAGCCACATAAACATTATTGAATTCGGACAGTTTTTGTTTATTTTTCCTTTTTCCTTTTCTTTTTTTAATGGCAGGCTGCTGCTTTGCGTTTTATGAGAAAGTTCTATTCTCATTTTTTCTAATTATTAAAGGTATAACGATCACCGATTTTTTGTTCATTATCACATATATATAATTTGATTCTATTGATTAATTATCACGCCAAAAAAAAAACAGATAGAAACAAAATTGTGGTGAAACTGGGCAAGGACAGAGAAGGTCATTGTAATATTGTGGGGAAAAAATGGAAAACTTCGAGACATAGTCGGTTTCTCAACCCAATGAAGGATGCATTTCAATTCCAGGTGTGTCTGTCGTGCATGGTCAGTTAACGTGTTGAATGGGATTGCATTCGAAGATAATCCACACCTCTCCAATGGCGTTTTTGTCCATAAGGGTTTTGCCAAACTACTCACGTCTATTTCAATAATTATACTTTTCATTTTTTCTAAAAATATTTTTGAAACCGATAAAAAGGGAAAACTATTATCTGTACATAACAACACAACACCAATAAAGTTTCAAAAGACATTATTACTATTTCCAACACAAAAATAATGCTGAAAAATTAAAATAATGCAAAAAAATATGCATATGTACCGCATGTAAACCGAGATATAAATATCTCAAAGAACTTTTGTTGACATAAAATCATATAAATAAAAGAAAAAAAAGATTTATTTCGAAACGAAGGAGTTATACGCAAGTAATCACATTGAACTAGAAATCTTTTTAAAAAAAGTTAACAAGGGTCGCCTATATCTTAAAAGAAGGGTTGTGTTGTTATACTTTTAATGTAGTACTATTCCAACACATACATGCAAAAGTCTGTTTTTGGACATAGATTGTACCATAAACATCGTGAAGAAAACAAAAATAGCAATTTTTCCAAGGGGATAAGAAAAAAGTTGTTTGCTATTGAAAGTGAAGAAAAGTGTCAAAGTATTTAAGTATTTTGGGCTCCCATCTCTAAACCAATTGGCAATTAGTGGGGTGGCCTTTGACATCACTTTTTTTAGCAGTGCCGATATGGGGCAATGTAATACACCTTATCACCCTCCCACAAGTCCAATGGGTCTTTAAATTTTGCCCAATGGACTTAGATCAGGACAAGAATAGAATACCCACGATTCAACGCTCAAGTGGGAGAAAGACAGGTATACCGTTGGATCGATCGACAACAAGCCCACAAGTTAACTCTCAAACGGGAGAAAAGCCAATTATACCGCTGGATCAGTCCACAACAAGCCCACGACTCAACGCTCAAGTGGGTTAATATAAAATTATTACAGGCCACCTTCACCCCAGAACTCCACCACAGGGCCAGCACGCTCTTATACTATATCAAAGTATATAAGTATTTAGGGCTCCAATCTCAAAACCAATTGGCAATGAGTAGGATGGCCTTTGACACTTCTCTTCATAGTGGCGATGTGGAACAATATAATACATCTTAACAAAATAAATCAATGGCGCACAATTTACAGAAAGTTTAGTTCTGTTGATTTCAAACCAAACCAGTATTTCATAAATGATTACTTTTTTCGCTCTTATAAATTATAACTTACGATACATGTACTATACACAATACATAAATGTTTGATTTTAAATTTTTTTCAAGTAATTAGATGCCATGAAAGAGTTCCAAAATTCATCTCTAGCCATATATTTCAGCTTGCGTACGTATCAATGTCCTCCCAACCGAGATTAAAAAATATCCTACGCGTCATCAGCTTCTTTCGGTCTCTTCTGTATCTTTCATCAGCCCATTAATGCGAACTCATTCCTCCCAATTATCCTTCCACCAATAATAATGGACAAAATACCTCAAACCATTTTCATCGTGATCAATTTTTTATAATATGGGATAATTAAATGGAGACAGCTTTTAAAATCAAACACGATTATTTCCCCTTCTTCAAAGGAACTGGGCCTTGGTGCCAAATCCACGGCACTTTTCTCGTCTTCCTTATTAGCCTCTCTGATGATGTGATCGATGGCGATGGTAGTGGCAACGGCGTGGATGGATGCAGTGTGAGGACCATCATCCGTCACCTCGCTTTTTTGTCTAATTTCTCAAGATTTGTTTGATCACTAACTTGTAGAACATCTAATTGGCAAAGAAAGTTTGTTAACATATGCTATTAGGCCCTTGTAGCTGTCCGACATGTTTGAAACGTTAGATGCTGCATTTCAACCTGTTCATTACACAATTCTTGTCTGGAGTTCCGGGCAATTTTCTTGTAATATGATGTTTCTTTTTTCCTGTTGAAAATTCCATGTGTTACACAGATGATTTTCGTTTGAACTATATCACATCTTACTCTGTTAAAAACAAAGAAATTGAGTTTTGATTTTATATTATTTTTTAAAATTTTAAAATTTAACGTAAACATTGTCACGCCCCAACCTAAAGCCTAGTTGACACGCTAAAGAATGATGTCCAATGTCATACAAGTAAGGCATCTTATACCTTTTTAAAGTCTAAGATCGATAAATTGAAACTAATCTTACATACATTTATTTATCAAAAGTAAATTACTAGAGTTTTATGCAGCGGACTTAAACTCTGACAAAATACACAAAAACATTTCTTCAATTCGCCAATGGATCACCATTCTACCATTCTTCCCCATCATACTCCCCTTACTCATAATCGTCATCACTGTTACTTGATGTATCTATTTGGGGATCAACAAATGCAAGTTGAATTACTCATGCAAATATAGCTCATTATATATTATATATGAAGAACCATATATATTATTATTTTGAAAGAAGATATACTTTATTATTTTAAAAGAAGATATACTACTATTTAAGAAATATAACTCATTATTTGGTAAGATATACTACCACTGTAACAATTAATTTTAAAGAAAATATAACAATACTAGACGTTATAGTACTACTATGAAAACTTGAATAATACTTGAAAATATCACTCTAAACATTGCTAGAATATAACAACATTCAGAGTCCTATATCATAAACAAAATACATGAAAATTTAACTTCTTAAATTATAATGCTAATTAAGAGGTAAAATTTGAAAATTAGCAATTAGAAGACACCTTGAGACTCTATGATCCCCCAATTCTATCTTAAACTTCCTTAAGGACTACTAAAAAAATTTTGAAATATAGTTTAGATTAGTCCATCACTAAGAAGTGTCCAATCCTCACAACTTTTTCTCTGCCAAAACACAATGGGAAGCCATATATTTATAGATGAGGTTTTGACTATTCCTACATGCCCCTCCATATTTATTAAATATTTTTTTCACTATTGTTACCTACCACTTTATTTTTATTTTATTCTTAAGTAATTTTTCCTTATTATTTTAATATGTATTACTATTCCCACCTAACCCTTTCATATCATTTCAATCTTTGTAGGATGACCTTTATAATTCACTTTTGAGCTGTTATTCATTTGACATTATTTTTACTCTTCATAGAAGCTTCTATTATTATTATTATTATTATTATTATTTCTCCACACATTAAGAATTATGACATTCTTAATTTTAAATACTTAGAACAATTACTTTATTACAAAAATATTTGGTATTACAATAATTTCTTTGGGACAAAGGAGTTAAGACATATACAAATGATATAGCAATAGTTATCAAGTAGCTTCCAAAAGAAAGACTTTTTACGAAATGTTAAAATTTACATATATTGTCAAAGTATATAAGTGCTTTAGACTCCCATCTAAAAATTAATTGTCACACCAAAGTAATCACGTTAAACTTCACATCAACGTACTTTGGGCTCCATACGTTTTCGTGTTTGTTTAATTTACTCCTTTTATATATATTTTGAAAATAATAATTCACATTAAATTACTGATGCGTGCCGAGTTCACCAAAAATATTACTAGCTTGGATTACGAATTTTTGTAGATAATGGAAGCTAGGTCGATCCCACGAGGATAGCTAATTACCAAATTTGTTGTAAAGAAAGACTACCAGTCAGACAAGATGTCACTCAGGGGAATGGAGAAAGTCACTCAGGGGAATGAAAGCCAGGGGTATTCATCTCCTCTTCCTACTGTTGTAGTTGTTTATTAGCACTGTAATGGTTGAATTCTTGTTCATTCAGCTCACTTATAACTCTAAGTCAGTTCCCATTTTTCCTAGAGTCATCTTTGCAACCTTAACAATCTATTTTCCAATGATTGATTCTAGTCACAAAGTCATTAAGTTCTCAGGCCTTCGTGAATACTTATGTTAACTAAGTATATTCCTATCTTAGTTAAAACCATAGACTGTTACCTCTATGTCATAAGTTAAAGTTGAAACAATCCAAACCAAGTTTATCTTTCCAGATCTCCCTTAGTTCTAGCATGCATTCAATTTAGTGATCAAGCAAATGAATGTAGAAAAACTTTCAACTTCAAAACAAGGAACAGAGCCAGTGCATTACACAACTACAATATAGGTTGAGGAGAATAACCCCTGGAAGCTGCTTAGCTACTCATGCAGATTAATGCTACATCTACTACATCAAAAGACATCATAGAAGTATGCATACTAAAACGAAGTTCCAGCTAACAGTCAAGAGACGAGAAAAAAGCTTGTGCAGTTCTGAGCCACTCCTGAGAATGAAGGGGTTCACTCATGGAACTGAAGCAGAAACTGGGATGGCTATTCTTCACTTGGCTTCCTTACTGAGTGGGTGTTGCTCCTTCTTCCTTCTTGCCTTCTTCCTGGAGTTTTTCTGTGTGTTTTTGGCAACTGAAAGGGTAACCAAAAAGATTCCCTCCTTCTGAGAGTGAAGTTCCCCTTTTATAGAGCAAAGCGTGCCGAGTCTTTAATCATGAGAGCCTCCCATGCTTGTGAATTGTTTAACCTTCCCTATGCCTTGTGCCTGGAATCCAAACTTGACTGGTCTTCTTCTCTTCTTCCAGTTGTGGCAGCATTAATCTCATTGATTAGTAGGGGTGGCTGGAATTTCGGCTGAGGGACAAGCATGCCTCTTGGAATTCAAATGAGAGACATACTTATTAATGGCAAGATGCTTCTTGTCTTGGGAGGTATTTTTTCGTCCAGCTCAGCACAAATTGCATCAGTAGCCCACAATTTGTTCCTTTGTCCTCAATTTTTCAGCAATTGTTCAATCAAACCCCAACCTAATAAAAACACGAAAACCAGTTAAGTAGAATGCACTAATAATGGAAATACCCCCCAATTTCTTACTAAATTCAGAGTTCATTGTAATGTTTTTCTGTAACAATTAATCCATTATCAACTCCCCCAACCTGGAAGAATTGCTTGTCTTCAAGCAAAACAACTAAACTCTTGTTGGCACTTATAGAATTGCACATAAGAAACAGGGGGAAAACAACATTGTCAAAATGACTGAAGATGACTTACTCCCCTGAGTGGGGATTCTCACTCAGGCAGGTGACACTGAACATAGAACCAACCATAAACACAAACTGAATAGGAACTGTCAACCTTTTGTCTCAGATTCAAGTGAAAAAAACATACACTTAAGGATACCAAATCTTTCTGCAATCCAGAGTCAAACAACCAACCTTCACATGGAATTAGAATATATATATATATATATATATATATATATATATATATATATATATGCCACAAGTGTTAGTTCAAGCCAAACCTACCAATCCATTCTAAGTTAACCGGTTAAACTTTGGTGGTCATTCTTGTGATCTGGTCTTGCCCAAGTTACTTCGACTCGATTTACCTACTGAGGCTTCAATCATGGACTTCCTGCACAGCCTTTCTGTCCCCTTTTTTTTTTCTTTTTTTTTTTTCAACAAAAAGGAAACAAACAGGCTGTCAATGGATACCACAAGGGAAGTCTCAGGTTTACAGCATCTCTCGTCTATTTGTAGCGTAGAACTAGACACAGATCACAACAGTGGATTAGTCATGCCAAATTTTTAAAATTTATGTTCTAGGTAGTCACTTCCACGAGTGGCATTGTTCATGTGTGTGAGTGACTGTCAGCCATTCTTTCCTTCATGCATCAGACTCAGTATCAAAAGTGTTTTAGCAAAATTTTTACAAAACCATGATCATCCTAGACTGTTGACAACTCCTTAGAAAATTTTTCATTTTATTTTATTTTTAAGAGAGATTTTACAGACTCGATCTAGACATGTACCTAAGGGACCTGAATTTAAAAGCCTGACAACCATACCAATACTACTCTACTATCCCCCCAAAACTTATTCTAAGCATTGCCCTCAATGCTTAACAACAAACGTGGCAAGACATTAAACAGAAAGCAAATAAAAACCACAAAAATTAAAAAAATTTCACGATTTTAACAAAAAAAAGTAAATTGCTGATTAGGGGTATCAGAACAACACTTCCCTGAGTGTTCATGGAGGCATGCCATGGAGTGGATGGGCTGGTTGATCATGCGGCATTGGGCAATTTTCAGGGCATCCAATGCACGTGTGCATTTCCTGCAGGAATTTCTCAGTCCTCATCTTGAATTGGTGGACATAATCCAGGATGAACTTGGTCTGCTTGTTGAAGTCTCTCAGCCTCAACTGTCCAACCAGAGTTGGGGTGGGTGCTGCTTGTCCTGAGGAAGATGCACCTGGGGGTCTCTGTTCCAATTTAGCTAGCTTCAAGGGTTGTTGGAGGCTGCTTTCATTGTCTGTGCTCAAAAACGCGACCCCTGCTCTTCTGCAAAGCATGGTGATCATAACTGGAAAATACCAGCTTTTCACCTTTGGATCAGTGATGCATCTGGTGAGTTGATCTCTGATGACTGAGGTTGCATCAAATGGTGTGTCCGTGACAATGGCACTACAGCACCAGAGCCATCTCATAGGTGACCTTAGGAGTGTAGGATGTTGGCATCAGATTGCAGCAAATGAAATGGTGCCACAAATTCATATCAGGCGTCTGCAACGCGTTTGCTAGAAATCCCAGAGGGTTTTCTTGATCATCCATCTCCCAGCTTGTGCCTTCTTTTGCCAATCTAGACAGAACAGTTTGTTCCAGTGGTTGATTCGGATGCAAGGCAGTGATAGTGTCTCTGTAGTCGGTGCTGACTCTTGGCAGTTTCCAGATGGCCCTAATAGCTTCTGTGCTGCAATTGACACTGATGCCTCTGACAAATACTCCGTCTCTGGGGGCAGTGTGGAAGTTGCCATAGAATTCTTGCACAATTTGCATCCTAGGCTTGACAAGTGGGTTGGAGAAGGTCTCCCAGCTATGGCGCTTGATAAGGGTGAAAGTTGTGCCGTCTTCACTGATTCCCCTTTCGGTAATGATTTTCCGCCGTATGTGCTTCAAAAAGAAATCCCAGCCCTTCTTCCTTGGGAACAATCTTGGCTCCCACTCGTCTGTGAGAGCGTCAAGGGCTTGTTCTTCCAGAGCCCTTGGTGGCTGAGGGGCGGCGGTGGATTAGGTTCTCTGACAGGGGATGGTGGTGGGGTGGGCACTCCTTGCCCTTCCGGTGAGCTTTCAGAGGAGCTTATGATTCTGGCGTTTGAAGCTCTCTTGCGGGCAGCAACTTTCCTTCTGGCCGGCGGCATCTTGTACAAACCCTAGATATTGAATTGGCAATTTGAAAGAGGGGGTTTTGATTGAATCTGAATTTTTGCCTTAGTTGCCTGAAAACTCAGAGAAATTGTTAGTACGTTCACACAGGGAAGTGGTATTTGAAGAGGCCAAGGGGTTTTAACGAAGAAGGGAAGAAAAAGGAGAGGAAGAGTTCTATGTTGTCATAATTAAACCTAGGAAGTTGTGTCTGACTAGGGGGCATTAAACAGTATTGGTTGGATTTTCAAAATTTGAAAACTTTTCGGGGAATTTTCCCCCCAAAACTTAAATTCCGAATTTAAGTCCAAAAGAATAGAGCAGAAAGGGTTATACAGTTGTACCTACTCGGGTGAGTGAGTTATCCCACTTGCGTGAGTGACATCAGGATTTGAATGACTCACATCGGTAAGTTAAGTTTGGCTCACTCAGCTGAGTGACCTTTTTCATTCTTGTGAGTGAGTTACCTGAGTGTCTGCCATTTCTGCATTTTCTGAAATCAAGTTGGGATGAAAAATTCCTCTCTGTTCCTGCAAAATTAATGCCATTATCACAAAAGTTAGTTAAGCCAAATCAAAAGAGATGGGTTGCCTCCCATAAAGCGCATTGGTTTAAAGTCTCATGCCAGACTTCAAAGGAGTTTTTAGTTAAGTTCCTTTAGGACCAGAACATGATAGTTCTGTCCTTTACTCCCTTCTGTCCATCCAAGGTATGGTTTAAGTCTCTGACCATTAACCAAAAAGGTGTAGCCATTCTGGGGATTCATGATCTCCACTGCTCCTCGATTTAGAACCTTGTTGATTTTGTAGGGCCCGGTCCATCTTGACCTCAACTTTCTTGGAAAGAATTTCAGCCTGGAATTGTACAACAAGACCTCTTGTCCTTCTTGCAGGTCCTTCTTAACAATGTGTTGATCATGGTAAGCCTTAGTTTTCTCTTTGTAAACTCTGGATGATTCATATGCCTCCAGTCTGAATTCTTCCAGCTCATTCAATTGCATCAATCTCAGTTCCTTGCTTTTGCTTGGATCAAGATTCAGCTCCTTGATTGCCAGTAAGCCTTATGTTCCAACTCCACTGGTAAGTGGCATGCTTTCCCATAGACCAGTTTGAATGGGGACATACCAATGGGGGTTTTATATGCTGTTCTGTATGCCCATAAAGCTTCATCCAACCTTGAGGACCAATTCTTTCTGGTAGAGTTGACAACCTTTTCCAGGATTCTTTTCACTTCCCTGTTTGACACTTCTTCTAGCCCGTTTGATTGTGGGTGGTATGGTGTTGATACTCTGTGCCTGATTCCATATTTCTCCACCATGGTGGCAAATGACTTGTTACAAAAGTGTGATCCTTCATCACCGAGTATCATTCTGGGTGTACCAAATCTAGCAAAAATATTTTTCCTTAAAAACCTGAGAATAGTCTTGGCATCACTGTTTCTTGTAGCTACGGCTTCTATCCATCCTGAAACGTAATCCGCTGCCAGTAGGATGTAGGAGTTCCCAAAGGATGACACGAAGGGACCCATGAAATCTATCCCCCATACATCAAACAGTTCTACTTCAAGCATGTTCTGTTGTGGCATCTCATTCTTCCAGGAAATGTTTCCTGTCCTTTGGCACTGGTCACAGCTTTTGACAAATTCACGTGCATCTCTGAACATAGTTGGCCAATACATTACAACTTGCAGAACCTTGATTGCCGTTCTTTGACCATTGAAATGTCCACCATAGGGAGAACTGTGGCATTTGTGCAATACTTCTGTGAACTCATATTCTGGAATACATCTTCTGATCAACTGGTCTGCACATCTTTTGAATAAGTAGGGTTCATCCCATAGGTAGAATTTAGCATCATGAAGGAATCTGGAATATATCTTCTGATCAACTGGTCTGCACATCTTTTGAATAAGTAGGGTTCATCCCATAGGTAGAATTTAGCATCATGAAGGAATCTCTTGCGTTGTTGAGGGTGAAATCTAGAGGAATAACACCAGCAGCAACAAAGTTAGAAAAATCTGCAAACCAAGGCCTGTTACCTTCACTCCCATGAGTGTACCTGTTACTCGCCAGAGTGACTCATCAGGGAATTTTTCTGAAATTGGAGTTGTGTCTTCTGGAATCTCTTCAAGTCTTGACAGATGGTCTGCTACCTGATTCTCAGCACCCTTTCTGTCTCTTATCTCCAAATCGAATTCCTGTAACAACAACACCTATCTAATCAACCTCGGTTTCGACTCTTTTTTATTGATCAAGTACCTGATGGCAGCATGGTCTGTATAGACTATGACTTTCATTCCTAGCAAATAAGCCCTGAATTTGTCAAATGCAAATACAATTGCTAGCATTTCCTTCTCTGTAGTGGTGTAGTTGATTTGTGCAGGGTTGAGGGTTTTACTAGCATAGTAAACCACATGTAACACCTTGTTCCTTCTCTGTCCAAGTAAAACACCAACTGCAAAATCACTAGCATCACACATTAGTTCAAAAGGTTGTGACCAATCAGGTGTGATGATCACAAAGCGTGATGAGTTTCTTTTTCAGTTCAGCAAATGCATTTAAACAGGATTCATCAAAAATAAAAGCAGTGTCCTTTTCAAGCAAGTTACACAAGGGTTTAGAAATTTTTGAAAAATCTTTAATAAATCTCCTATAAAAACCGGCATGGCCTAAGAAACTCCTTACTCCCTTGACTGTGGTTGGTGGGCTGAGCCTCTCTATGACTTCAATCTTTGCCTTGTCCACTTCAATTCCTTCCGATGAGATCTTATGTCCCAAGACAATCCCCTCAGTCACCATAAAATGGCATTTCTCCTAGTTGAGGACTAAGTTGGCTTCTATGCATCTTTTCAATATCAGTCCAAGGTTGTCCAAGCATGCATCAAACGACTTACCAAAAACCGAGAAGTCGTCCACAAAGATCTCAATTATGTCTTCCACCATATCAGAGAAAATGGCCATCATACATCTTTGAAATGTTGCCGGTGCATTGCACAGTCCAAATGGCATTCTCTTGAAGGCAAATGTGCCATAGGGGCAGGTGAAAGTTGTCTTTTCTTGATCATCAGGATCTATGGCAATCTGGTTGTAACCTGAGAAACCATCAAGGAAACAATAATCCATGAATCCAGCCAATCTATCTAGCATTTGATCAATAAAGGGAAGGGGAAAGTGGTCCTTTCTGGTAGCCTTATTAAGCTTTCTGTATTCCATGCAGACTCTCCATGAATTGTTCAGCCTTGTAGGGATCAGCTCCTGGAGGTCATTCTTTATCACTGTGATTCCTCCCTTCTTGGGCACGCACTGCACTGGACTCACCCACTTGCTGTCAGATATTGGGAAGATGATTCCAGCGTCCAGCAGCTTGATAATCTCCTTTTTTACCACTTCCTTCATGACTGGATTTAGCCTTCTTTGTCCTTCAATGATTGGCTTGGCATCGTCTTCAAATAGAATCTTGTGCATACATATGGAAGGACTGATGCCCTTGATGTCTGCAATTGACCAACCAATGGCTTCCTTGTGCAACCTCAGCACTCTCAGCAATTTATCCTCTTCAGTACCTGTAAGCATAGAAGAAATGATCACAGGTAAGGTGTTACTTGCTCCAATATAGGCATACTTCAAATGTGAGGGCAGAGGATTAAGTTCGAGGTGAGGTGGCTCTTCAATTGAAGGTTTGAGGCATCTTCCTTCCTTAGTCAGGTCTAACAGTTCAAAGGGTTATTGTTTAGGATGCCACTTGGGGGAGGGGTTCAGGTAACTCAGGCAAGTGATCCTGTACTCATCCCCTCCTTCATGTTCCTCATTACTGTCTAGGCATAAGAGTTCCTTGAGGAGATCATCTTGTAGTATTTCTTCTGTCACTGCTTCTTCTACCTCTACACTTCTTACCATGTAGCAGTTATGGACTTCAGCAGGATATCTCATATTTTTGAAGATGTTGAAGGTAACCTTCTCTCCATCAAAGTGCAGTGTGATTTCTCTCTTTTTCACCTTAATGATTGCATCACTTGTTGCCAGAAAAGGTCTCCCCAAGATGATGGCACATCTCTGTCCTCTTCCATGTCCAAAACCACAAAGTCTGCTGGGTAAATGAAATTACCAACCTTTACAAGAACGTCATGTAAGATTCCCTTTGGGTAGGTCAGTGACCTGTCTGCCAACTGCAATGTTATGTTAGTAGGTACCAGAAATTTGTCCAGATCAAGTGATTTAAATACAGACAATGGCATGAGATTTATGCTTGCACCAAGATCTAGTAATGCTTTTGAAAATTCTCTGATTCCTACTGTACAAGGCAGAGTGAAACTACCCGGATCTTTTAGCTTAGGTGGCAATTTTCTCAGAATAGCTGCACTACATTCTTCATTTAGAGTGACAAAAGCAGAGTCATGTACTTGTGATTTATTGGCCACCAAATCTTTCAAGTACTCGAAGTATTTAGGCATTTGTTTAAGTGCATCAACAAGTGGTACATTAATATGTATACTTTCTAAGTTTTGAATAAACCTGTTGAGCCCTTCATCCATTTTGGCCTTCTTTTGTCTTACCGGATACGGTGGGATTGGGGCTGGCTGTTGTGGCTCCTTAATTGATGCTGGGAATTGAATTTCCTCCATTCCAGGTTTTTCAGCTGCTTGCTCCTGTTCAACCACATCATCATTATCAGATATTTTCTCAGAAAATGTTTCATTCTTACCTGCAGGGTCACTCACGAGAGTGACTTTTTCACTTGGCTGATTGAGTTGCTTTCCACTTCTGAGGGTGACAGCCTTTGCTTGCTCTTGGTCATTCCGTTTGGGGTTTACAACTGTATCACTGGGCAGGCTTCCAGATGGTCTTTCAGCATTTTGTTTTGCAATCTGGGCCAACTGATTCTCCAAACTTTTGCAAGACACCGCCAAATTCTTGATTATATTTTGCATAGAAATCCATTCATCTTCTCTTGGTATGTATTGCTGGTTAGAACGTTGCTGATTCTGATAGTTGGGAGGTTGGCCATCTTGTCTTT